TCCAGGTTGTTGATGAACACGTTGTACACCTGCAGGTTGGGGTTACACTGCCAGGAGACAGAACACGACAGCCAGTCAGTCCTGGAGGGTCTCGGCCCGCTTGGAGCTCGCCCACCAGCCACAGGCTAACTGGTCAGCATGCAGGGCCCTACAGCTCTCGCTCTGCTATTCGTTATGTTTACAACTACTAAGAAAAACGGTTCATGTTTAGAGCCAGGCGGCTTCTGCTTCACTACAGCTTTACTACTATGTCAGGGCGAACAGCCTACATACAGGCTGATGTAACAGATAGTAAAAGAGTCAAATACAGTTCTTAATCATTTCCGAGTACAGCCCGAAAAACTCCCAAAATCCCATTTGTTCCAAGAAGTGCGCATGCAAGATACCCATGAGGTATGAAAACATTATCTCTTTCATAGTTTCACTTTCATAGTTGCTCTATGATGTGGATATTCTCAGTTAATATTCCAAAGCACTCTTTCCAATCTGCATGACAGTCTTTTCTTCCTAAACCACCTCAATACAGAACTGCCAGCTGTTAATAAAAGCAGCCCCCAACTAGGTCACTTGGACTAGAATTGACAAGCGAGAGCTGTGCGTACTTTCCCCACAAAACATGAACATTCAACCCACTTGTGACTGAAAAACTCACTGCGCACAGCAGAGCTCATCCTGACCAGGAGAAGGCAAAACATTGCATCTCACAGGCGTTTGGCAAGTCTCAAACTGACACCACCCAGACAGCTCCGACACCAAGAGCCACTGCAGACTGGGAACCCCCATCAGGGAACGGCACTGTCAGACTCAGACTCCAGGTTTGGTTTGGCTAGTTAAGGCAGCTTGGGCCCACAGAGGCCCCCGCCACTCACGCTGTGGTTGACGAAGTGGGAGATGTTGCCATGGTGGGCTGCGTCGACAGTGTACACGTCTTCCACATAGTCCAGGTCGAAGAGGTAGGTGGCGCCCTGCCGGTCGTAGATGTGTCCCCTTCTCTCTGCCTCCTCGGACGTTATAATCTGAGACAGGAGGGACGGACCAGTTAACACTCAACACAAAGAGGAAGGCAAGTCTTGTACACATCATGACTGAAAGATGCATTCATCAGTTGATTTAGTCTATATGGATTAAATGGGTAATGTACCAATATCCATCCATTTCCTAATCATCCAGTTCAGGCTCATGGGAGAGCCGGAGCACATCCCTGCAAGCAACGGGCACAAGGTATGGTACACTCCGAACACCAGGGCCAGTCTTCCCAGAAGCCAATTAACCTATCAGCATGTTCTTGGACTGCGGTGCACCCGGAGGAAACCCACGTGAACACACAGACAGCACTGCGGTCCGGAACGGAGCCACACCAGGACCCCCTGCTCAGCAAGCCAGCACCACCGCCCCCAGAAGTATTCATTTTTTAAGATCTCCATGCTGAACTGCTGTAAAAGTGTGGCAAAGTGTTGGGAAACCAGAAGGTCTGGTTCACTATCATCACAGAAACCACCGAAGAATTCACAGAGCATTACATAACAGCTGCGCAAACCCATGGAAAACACGCATGCAAAGAGCGCCATCTGTGAATATCTGTGCAAAACCTGTGTTCATAAACGACAGGAGGCCACTCAGCGCATAAACGCCATGTAGTGGGTAGCAGCTAACGGATCTGAGAATCGCAATCGTTCATGTTTTCACTGGTGACCTCTGGATCATGTTTCACTATTTATACCAGTACAATAGACTCCAAAGCCCTTGCCTGAAACAGATCCCCAGTAATTTTCAGGGTTCAGGGCACAAGAGAGCCAGTCAGCGCAAGACCTTCCCTACAGCCTGTACCAAGTCAAAGCGATCTTGGCCCAAGCTATACATATTCAAAATGAGGGTTTTTAAATCACCCAATTGCAAGATACCTTAATGATAAATTGTACGCTTTTTACAAATTTTATATTTTCTTAAATTTTACTATACACCTTAAAACTGCCTTTTTATTGCTTCCCTACATTATCAAGATATGCCAACTCGCATGCAGTCTGTATTTATTCCTGCCGTTATTTGTTCAAGGAACTCTAAGGTACAGCAACTCTCTTGAATCCATGCTGTCTCTCCACTGGGATCTTACTGCCATTCAGGTAACCCTATATTTCTGGTGTAATTATTGTTTTCAGAGCCTTCCTTGTAGCAGATGTAAGACTTCATGGTTATTACTTTGATTGGGGTTTGTCCACCTTTTTATGGGCGAGTGCTATATGAACAGCTCTCCAGTCAACAGTCCAGTCTCCTGCCTTGAGTGACTTTCATTAACAATTAACATTGAGTGACGGTTAATTAACAGGATTAACAGGACCTGTCCTCAGTACTTCTAGCACCTGTAAAACTTCTGCTACTTTCATCCTACTGTGTAACATACTGTACATCTTTGCCTTTCCTTAGCCCAAGGTGTTATCCAGTTCTGCTTTGGGGAACACCTGAAGAAAAAATATTCTCTGCCATCATCTGAATGTTCCCCACTTTTCTCAGACACACACTTCACCTAACAGAGACCGTTTTTTTCCCCATCTCATAAGACCATAAAAATGTTGGGGATTCTGTCCGGTGCAGATCCCTGCCACACTGCGGTGAGTGCGGAGAGGGGCAGGGAGAGGATGTACCCAAGACAGCGGGAAGAGCAGCACTTCCCAGACGCCAGCCCTGGTGGACTGGGGGCCTCACAATTGCACATTCAGCAAGGCCTGACGCCGACACTCAAGCAGAAGGTTCACTATTCTGCAGGTGCACAGCAAGAGAAACCTGGAAATTAAACTTCTTTCCTGCAGATGCTTATTTTCATATGCCAGGGATCCATCTTATCGAAAAACCGTTTTAGAGTCTATTACTGAAAGCCAAATACTGGCAGGGGGGAGGCAAACGATCTGGCAGGAGTGACAAGTTTCAAGACCCAGAGGAAGGCAAGGAGGTGGTGTTTGAGCTACATCAGCGTCACAGAGGGTTTTGTGTTCTGTATTGAACTCTTTACCAATGGGCCTCAGGTACTGCCGGCACACCCCTGCCTCCCCACCGCACAGCTCCGGAAATCTCTGCAGAGGCTTTCTTGCTACCGAACAGAGATGCCCGGGACAGCTACACAGCACACATCCTTCCAAACAGCAAGTCTGGCTGAGCCCTGTGCAACAGCAGCACCGAGGGTTCGAGAAACCGATGGGCTAATCTCTAAAGCTCTGGTCCCCGGGCCGCCCTTGGCGCCGTGCGAGCTGAGCTCACACCTAGGAGCAGGCAGAAGCACAAGCACCCCGCAGAGCAGGCTGCGCCGCCCCCCCCGCCGGACGTACCTCCCCCACGTACTCCATGACGAAGCTGTGCTTCCTGATGCGCTCCATGGTGCGCACGCCCCAGCCGCGCCCGTTGTCGGTCTTGAAGATGCACAGGTCGTACTGGATGCCCTTCTGCACCACGCGGTTGGGGCAGTCGGGCCCGCAGGAGCAGCGCGAGTTGCACTCGTAGATGGGCAGGCCGGCCCGCAGGCGCACCTGGCCCCGGTCGTTGTAGGCGAACTTGTGGAGGGAGGTGCCGGCGCAGCAGCCGTTCACGGGGCTGTTGAAGCAGTCGGCGCACTCGCAGCCCACCGCCACCTCGTTGAGCACGATCCCGTCCCCGACCTTGTAGTTGTTGATGTAGGTGAAGTCCCGGGGCGGCCCGTCCAGGTCCACCTCGTTGAGCACGAAGATGCGGCCCCGGTGCTGGCGCGTCTTGTTCAGGTCGGCCTCCCAGCGCTGCAGCCGCAGGCGCTGCTTGGCCTTCTGGGCCAGGAAGGAGGCCACGCTGTGGTCCAGCCGCTTGGGGCTGCGGCGCAGCTTCCGCCGGCGCAGCTCCCGCTGCATGTCCTCGCGGAACTGCTTGAGGATCTTCAGGCAGCGCAGGTTCCTGAGCGGCTCCCAGCTGTTCTCCGACTCCGGGTAGCCCTTCCACTTCACCAGGAAGAACTCCCGCTCCTGAGGCGGGGGAGACGAGGGGGAACAAGGCAATGAAGGGGGTCAGGTACACACGGCTCTAGCACTGCGGCGGCCGGCTAGCCTGGCCCAGGGCAGCCTGCGCCAAGAGAAACATTTAAGCGGGTTCGTAAAAACAGCCGCAGCAGCTAAGTTCCTCCTCCAAGAAGTTAAGAGAAGTAACAAACCTCAAAGAGCAAGACAAAACCCATCTGTGAAGCGTGAAACACACCTCCGTCGCCTATCGCATGAGCCTCTGCTGTACAGAGGAAACCCTTGCGGTCAGTCTGTCAGCACTGCTGTGTGCACTGAAGCTGCACAAGACTGTCGCCTGCTCTTCTGGGAGGTATTTCCCCACAACAGGCAACAGTGGGATATTACTTGCTGCTTCTCTTTCAAGACAGCGTTGGATTACTGGCCTGTGGGGAGACACAGGCTACTTCCAAAAGACCGGCTGAAAAGCTTCAGCTTTGATTCCAGGTGCTGAAGTGCTTCTGGGACCTGATACAGGCAGGAACTTAAGTATTCCACTACTTAGAGGCATCACACCTTTTGGTAATCTATTCCAACAAATTCAGTTTCAGTCTATTTTAAGAAAAAGGTTTTCTACTTGTTATAAACTATGTCTAAAATCTTTAATAAATCAGCCTGCTAGCTTTCAGTGGTAACTTGCCAATATCTCTCAATTCTACAAATGCATAAATCCGGGATTTAATTCCCAGAGTGGGATCGGGCAGGTCAGGCCCTGGCGCCGGGCCCAGAGTGGGATCGGGCCCTTGTGTTGCACAGAGAACAATACATCAGCCTCCTGTACCCAGATTCCTCAGGGAGCAGCTGATTTCCTCTGCAATGGAAACGCAACCTCTAAGCGTGGGGAACGTCCTCTTCCCAAGCAAGAGAGGCAGACACCCAGCAACACCTTGTCTTACAGCTTTTAACAGTGGACCTGGAATCATTCTACCAGCAAAGCAACTCTACTTCCTAGAGGAACAGTTTCTTAAAAGCAGGCAATGGAGCAGGGGACTCCCTCAGCAGTTCCTCTGGAGGAAGCACGCATTTCAGCACCTGATTTAGGATTAGTGAAACTGCAATCAAATCCATCACTACTCATTGCTTTAGGTTATCCATCCCAGTGTGGAGAGAGAACTGAAAATGATGACACCACCGCAGAAGTCAAACCAAATGCATTACTACTGATAAACCCATTATTATTTTAGGTCAGGTGGGGAGCTGCATCAGCATGCATAGGCTGCAAGGGAACTAGTTAAGGTTTATTCCATGCTGAAGAGAAGAAAGGAAACAACGTTTCAGCCATGGAGTCTTCTTCGGGTGTGACACCAGAAGAAGCATGGAATAAATTTTACTTGTTCCATTATTATTTTACTCACTATTATAACCTTGCTGACACATTTATCTAAAGCACTGTACGTAAAGCCATTTATGCAGCTGGGTATTTTACTCATACTGAGCAAAGCATCCGTTTCAGAGGTACAACAGCAGTGCTCCACCTGGGTTTCAAACCCACAACCCTTCAGTGTCGTCTCCCGGGGCTTGATCACTGCTCCACGCTGCTGCTGTCAGACTTGTGCACATGATCAGCGAGTGCCCTATAGCCTGGACAGCGCTAAAGCTCTCTCGTTAAAAAAGCAGCTGAAGTAAAAGCGTACCTTCTTACTCTTGATGAACTTAGCAATTGTGTCCAGCGTGCAGGTTCTGCCAATTTTTACCTGTTGAATGTTCTTCTGCGATATCTTTGGGAATAAAGATTCATTTATAGTCAAAGTGAAATCAGGCACTTTCTCCCAAAAGCACAGAGACGTAGCTCAAAGCAGGCTGCTGGCAGAGGGCTGG